TGTCTGATTTAGTATAGCTGCTATAGCCTTCTCATGCTTACTGTTTTCATGGGCTATCTTTTTCCATCCATTTACTTTCAACTTGTGTCTTTATATTTAAATTGTATCTTTTGTAGACAGTCTGTAATTGGGGCTTGCATTTTTATCCAGTCTGACAATATCTGCCTATTGGAGTATTTAGTCATTAGCATTGTTTTGGATGATGTATTAAGCAGCTCCACATGTACTTTTTGAAAATAGTGTTTTAGTTCAGCTTTCTTAACTCAACCTGATAGAAATGTAATCTTAAAAAAAAAATTGAGCAATATTTGTCTTTACCAATAGTTACAATAAAAACATATTATGAAACACATAGATTCATGTATTTTAGAAGCTGCAGCTTCAAGTGCTATAAGCTGATACACATTTTCATTCAAGTTAAATACAGGTCTCAAATAGCTTATCCCAGCAAAGAAGTTAAAAAAAAACAAACTACTTTTTTCTGACCTGCTTTTTCATAGTTTATAATCTCTTCCTAAATTCTATGTCTTTCTCTTTCTTATCTGAATAGCTCAGTGAAATAGCTTATTTCACTCTTTCAGGTTTCTCCTGTTTGTTTTTCTTGTGGGTTCTTTCTAAGCAGTAGAATTCCTCGTGTATTTTATCATTTTTTTGTTGTTGACAAGCTTGTCTTTATGTGTAGCTTGTGTTGGCAACACTTCTCTATGAGGTGATTTCCGACTTGCCTCTACCCTGATTCGTTAGTTTGTAAACAGACATTTTGGTTGATTTCTCAGTGGAGCATGGCACTTTCTGGCCATTTGGATGGTACGACTCTAAGGCTGTCTCTACTGTTTAGATTTTAAAGTTTACTAGTTTATTAACATTTAGTCTGTCTTAGGCCTATCTCAAGAAACAAGAACAAGCCCAAATAACCTAACGTTACATCTAGAAAAACTAGAAAAAGAACAAATGAAGCCCAAAGTCAGCAGAAGGAAGGAAATAATCAAAATAAGAGCAGAATTAAATGAAATCGAGAACAAAAAGACAATAGAAAAATTAATGCAACAAAAGAGCTGGTTGAGAAGATTAATAAAATTAACATTTATTATATCTGGAAGTCTGTTGATGTGTGGTTGGATTCAGAGGTACCATTTTATCATTTGATTGCTGTTTGTCCCCTCTGGCTTTTGTTTGTTAGTTCCTCCTTTCTTGCCTTCTCTTGTGTTATTTGAATATTTTTTAGGATTCCATTTTATCTATTGGCTTTTTAATGATGCATTATTTTTCTTCTATCTCTGCTCTTTAATGGCCTACTTAGAGTTAATATTATACCTTTTCACCTAAAACGTAGATTCATTTCTATATCCAGCATCCTTTAAGGCAGGGTTTCTCAACCTGGGCACTATTGACATTTTGTTATGGGATCTGTCCTGTGCATTGCAGGATGTTTAGCAGCATTGCCTAGATGCCTGCAGCAGTCCCTCAGTTGATAGAAAATATCTCCAGACATTATCAGATGTCCCTTGTGGGGCAAAACCACCCCAGGTAGAGAACCCCTGCTTTAGGGTACAGATGTCCTTTGTGTTACAGTGGCTTTTTTTTAAACCACTAGACATTTTTGGAATATTTTGCTTTAAGTAATCATATGTATTTTAAAGAAATCAAGAGGAAAAATAATTTTATATTTTTCTAACTTACCATTTCCAGTGCTCTTCATTCCTTCCTAAAGAACTGAATTTCTCTCTGGTATTATTTCCTTTCAGCAGAGAGAACTCGCTTTAGCTTTCCTTGTAATACAGGTCTGCTGCTGGCAACAATTGATTTTATCTGAAAATGTCTTTATTTAGCCTTCATTCTGAGTTGACAACTACATCTGAGATGTAATGGACATTCAATTATAGTGGCTCCAACTGGACTATATTTTTAAAAAAAAAAAAGCTCCTGGCCATCTGGGAGGAACTTTGTGTCCAGCTAAATTTCTATGTCATGATTTGATGTCATTCTACCCTTGTTGAACAATAGCTTTTTAATTCTTTTCACACTTTTTTATATTCACCTGATATCTCTGGGGCAGCAATTAATTGCCAAGTACCATACTAGACTCTGGGGACATGTTGGGGTACATCCATTCCCTTCCTGTGGACCTTACATTTTAATGGAGGGAGGCACAAAATAAGCACATAAGTATTTAAACATATAAGAATTTCAGATGGTCAGAAATGTGAATAAAATAGGACAGAGCAAAGAGAGGTGGCCAGGGTGAAGTGGTGCAGTCGTTGCTTTAGATAAGGTGGTCAGGGAAGGAGCCAGCCACACTGAG